TTCTGTGGAAACACTCCCAGAGATTTTGTATCAAGTGGGTGGGACTTGGAATATGCATTTTTAATAAGCTCTTGGGTAATTCTGGTCCAAATATTTCAGAACTCCGATCTGAAAAATAATCTTCGAACATTTAAGAATAAAGGCCAGCTAATTGGAGGAATTCATCACAGAGCAGTTGAGCAGTAAAAAACAGAAGCAAATGGACAAAGCGTTACAGACAAACACCCAGGTCCCAGAATGGATGCATTTATTTGATATGTAAATGACTTGACCAGAAATATCATATCTCATATATGTGTGACATGATGGAAATGCTGAAGAGGAAAAGTCTGAGGTGGGAGTTTTCAATTCCATTTAAGAGAAAGAAAGCATGCTCACCACAACTGAATCAAATTTTTAAACGGTAAGAAGGCAGCTCTGATGCAGTAGAAAGACCTTGGATTCAGAAGTCCATTCCCAACTCTGCTGTCTGTTGGGTGGGTGGGTGACAGTTACTTTACCTCTCTAGCTTCCACTTTCTCAACTCTAAGTGGAAGCTACAACCTACCGCAAGCGATGGTGGTTAAGAGTAAATGATAATATATTTTAACAAAGCCCTCTATAAACTATAAAGCATCAAACAAACAAAAAGCCAGTACAATGATAAGAAACTGGAGTTTAATAACTTTCTTAAATACCAGTGATAAGATTTTTGTAAGCGTCTTGTTGAAAAGTTGGCAAGAATGGCAGAGCAAGTACCACAGAGCATAGGAGCACGCCAGAAGGAAGCAGGAAACAGCTGGCTGGTGAAATTACGAGAACTCACAGAACATCCCAGAGGAATGTGGGAAAACATCCCTTTCAGGAATGTGGCAAAGGGTGAGGAGAGGAGAGAAGGCTCAGTCCTCCCAGGTGTAGCTCTATTTTATGCAAATTATCTTAGTAAAGTGTGGCAGGTTTTCAATGCATTTGGGCTAAAGCCACAGTGAGAGCCTAGGAGCTTCCTCATCAACTGTCCCCCACCCAGGGAGGTGACTTCTGCTCCATGAGCACAGTGATCTTACACAGAAACTTAGAAGAAGATCTGAGGTGGCTTCTTCAGAGAGGGCTGAGCCAGGAAAAGGAGCAGCAGCCTGTTTGTGTGTCCAGGAATCCGGGGCCAACCTTAGCTAATTTTGGATAGGGAAGAATATATGCCCTATGAGCTTGTCTGATTTTGAACACAGGGTGGGGGAGGTGGCATTTGCCAGTGAAGTTCATTTTGAAAACTGCCAATTTCGTCTCACTTCATTGAGGAGACAAAGACACTGACCCAAATGGAGGGTAATGGGAGCAAATGCCCTTAGACAGCAGAGACGGGGCCAGCCCAGCCAAGGCACAGGAAGGAGCCAGTTCAGGTCTGAGAGTCAGGTGGGGAAATAGGTAAGTTAGAATGACTGATTCCCTCCTATATTCTCTCTCTCTCTCTTTTTTTTTTTGTCAGTAGCTTTTCTTTGCTCATATACATAGTCTCTTTAAAAGGAAAAAGGTAGGAAGGTTATTTGCTGCATTAGGTCAAGAAGAGGCTTTTAAGCCTATAGACTACAATTTTCCTTTAATATCTGGCCAATAACGGTGTCAGACAAGCTGCTGGGTGGATTCTTACATGTCATAAAAGAAAAACATCTGATCATCTTTTAGTTCCACAAGGTACATGATAACACTTATGCCATTAGCTACGATGGGGTAGAATTAAAAGGACAAGGCAAAATGTGTGTCCTACAGGGTGTCTTAAAAGTAAATATACTTCAAATATGAAAAAAGTAGAGCGTGGTCATAAGAAGGCAATCTCTTCACCCATCGTGTACAACTACCGAAAAACAAGGGGGCTAAGCAGAGAAAGTATGAGCAGGACTAGAGGGTGGAGCGAGAGTCCAAATGCAACCATAATGCTGGGAATGAAGAATTCTTGCTGTCCACTCTACAGAGGAATACATTGCACAAAGAAACAGAAATGAAAGTACAGTAGTATGAAAAGAATTTGTACACTGTGATGAGAAAATGAAATATATTTTATTAAGTAGTTATTTATGAGGTCTATTTCCTTACTCACTAGCTACATAGTTCCCAACATTAAAGTAAGCAGAGTTGAATATATGGAAAATAAAGATATTTTTAAGATGCTTCAGGAAACAGAAGAGGTATAGCAGAGAATTCATGTGTCATGTTGTACAGAACAAGCTGAATTATAGCTAATATGAAACTCTAAAGCAGGCAAATCAGCATTTGGCCAAGAGAAGGGGCTGAGGAACAGGCGACAGACAGCAGACTGGTCTCTGGAATGCCAGAGCAACAGGCTTTTCAAGTTAGCTGTCAAAGACTTGGGGCTGGGCAGGCAGGGAATCTACTGCTACAAACAAAATGATCACTGGGGAGTTCTGTTCAAAAAAAAGGGGAATGAGGAGAAAAGAACTGTGATCCTATTTATGTGAGAAAAGAGAACGTGAACTAATTAATAGGGTATATAACACAATACAGGTATCCCCTGCTTTTCAAAAGTTTGCTTTATGCCACTTTGCTTTTATGAAAGACCTACATTAGTACCTGTCTTTGCTCACCAAAAGAAATCCAAAGAGGATTTTCACTTCTGTGAAAAAAGGTGAAAAGCAGAAATAGCATCCAGCGTTTGTTTTGCATGGAACCGTTAAAGAGGCAGCGTGTACCCCTAGCAGCAAGAGTGGTATCACTAAGCTCTTTCCCTGGGAACTATACTCAGCATTTCTGCTTTTACTATATGCTAGTGTTATTTTAGGTTTTATGTGTTATTTGGTATGATTTGGCAGGTTATTTTTTGGGTCTGGGAATGCGCAAAAGATTTTCCTATATAAATTAATGGTAACTGTTTCTTTGCTTTATGTCATTTCCGCTTACAAAAGGTTTCACAGGAATGCTTTACTTTTGGATAGCGGGGGAAACCTGTATATAAAAAGAAGAGGATCAAAGAGGTGACAGAAAGACAATAAAAAATTTACTGTTACTACCTTAAGGAAATGATGTTGGTGTTAGCAGAAATTGGATGTTTGACAGCAGAGAAACAATTCTGAATATGCAAATGTAATGAGGATATCACTTAAAGTATGGTAAAGCTCAAATATGATACTGTATGTGAAACCCATCTGTTAAATGTCAAGTCTACACATGTGCCAGGCAGTATGGTTATTGAGGGCTGGCCAGGTCCTGTAATCCACAGACATGTAATAGCTGTTTTAGCCAATCAGCCTTAATGATGTCTTCCCAGGAAATACTGGCAAATGTTGCTAACAGTAATTGGTAGCAAAATTGCTTCATTTGGATTTTAAGCATTTTTTATTTACCTGTCTACCCCGTTTGGCAGAAGTGGTAATAAGCCAAGGAATGGTCACTGAAGCAGAAGAGTAAAAAAGAAGCAGAGGCCATTGAATAATCCATCAGCTGGAGCACCAGCAACCAGACAATTAATACCTGACTCTATCAGCAAAGTGATTAGACACACCACAGATCACAATACTTTGTCTGCATGTACCTAGCACTTAATTATTGAAAGTATACAATTACCTATTTAAGAGTGCAAATGAGTTACTATGAAGTTGTTTTAGGTCACTCGAGACTACTGGGAGATACAACTGTGAGTTGTTGGTTAAAATCAAAAGGAAAGAGTATATATACTTGTATACAAAAGTAAGGGAGGAAGAAACATAGGTTAAAAATGATTGATAAAAAGGACTCTGAATGAATGGGGAGGCGACATGGTATCATAAATTAAGTAACTTCCCTAACTCCATAGATAGTTCAGTGTGAGTACAAAGGCCAAAATGCTTTATCAGGATTGATTTGCTGGTTTTTCCTTGTATCTTTTTTTTTTTTTTTTTTAAAAAAAAGAAATGTAATCATTCTAAAGACAAAAGTATGCAATTGTTTTACATTCTTCCCGCATATAAAGTTTAGACAGCTTCAAGAGATGAGAAAGCTTAAAAAAAAAAAAGAAAAAGAAAAAGCCTACAGATCTACAAATTCCATATGACTATAACAAAAATAATAAACTCAGCTTAATCAATTCTGGTTAAAAACTCATTAGCTATGTGCATTTTTCTGTATGTATATTATATGTCAATAAAAAGGTTTTAAAAACTCATTAGTTGAAATAAAAATGAAGCTGTCGAAGTAAATCCTGAATAACAAAATATTTTGACAGGCATTTTAGAAGAACAGAGGACAAAGAAAACACCAGAATAATGCTAATGGATAAGCACATTTCCTGAGCCCCAAAGAATCTAATAATGCTGATGATAGGTCACTGGGACTAGAAAACTGCATACTACTTGTGGCTACAGGTACTCTGCATCAAGGTGACATTAGCAAGAGATGACTGACTTTGAAAAAGCAAAAACATACTGGAATAAAAAACTGACCCACATACTGGAAAATGTTGCAAGATAATGGTGGATTTCACCCTTCGTTCTTGCAATGAGTATCCCTGGGCCTGCCTGGGTATCTAACACCCCAGGCCTCAGCAGATCAGTCATCTCCCAGAACCACTGGACTCAGCACATTTGGCAATTCCATTAGCCCTGGTGGGTTGGGTGGAAACAAATTTGTTTCTCCTGGTCCCATAAAGATCAGACTGTTCTGGGGATAAATCAGTGCCCGCCACTGCCCCAGCCAGCACAGTCCCAACTACAAGGATGCAGTTGCCAGAGTCTAGCATTCTGGATACAAATAAGATATGCAACAGAAAAATACAATTGAATTGCAGGCCACACCCACACCATCCAAACCTTCATGGGAACTGAGATTGCAAGACTTTATCATTTAATCAGTCTTTCACAATGTTGCATATTTGGGATGTGTTTCCCACTATTAACTCCTACAGCGAATGTGAACTTTATCTGGGTTATACTGATACAATCCGGAGTTTCATCTTTAGCCATAACACACAAGTGAAAAAGAAAAGTTGATTAGTGTTTGCTAGTGCTGGTATTATTTTATTTTATATACACACTTACCTCTTTGACACTATGTGTTACTGCCCATATTAGAAAAACCCTAGACATCACCTGGAAAGAAGTCAGGACGACAGAAGATGGTACAATTCCTGAAAGATATTTTAGGATAGGTAAATAAATGTGCTGTACTAAATTTCAACATATAATACATTTTCTAAAACATCCACATTTAAATATTGAGAGCCAAAGCCATCTTGAGCAACTGAAAGTTATCTGTGTTGTTATATAGACTAACTTTTTAAGACATAGTCAAGATTAAAACCTTCCCCCTAGAAACAATAATATAGTTAATGGCAATTACAAACCATAGAATCTAGGCAAGCCTTTTAAAACCACTGAACAAGTACAGTACCTTTTACACTTTATCATATAGAGGAAACAAAACCATCATTTAACCTTTGAAATTAGACATTGAATGTTGATTTTACACTATGAGTTTCTGTATAGTAAAGAATTAACCTTGTCCAAAGAGATGTCTGGCCTTTGCCCTCAGTTCCTGGAAGGTGATCTCTAAGTCCTAGGAATGTCCTGCCTGATAAATGTGTCTTTTACCTGGGGAACCTGGGCCATGCCAGACAGTCTAAAAATGTAATTTATGTTAGGGGATACCAGCTTGACATCTGGAGAGACTGGAGCCTGAGGTCAGCCATGTGGCAGCCAACCATGTCTATGTGACGGAGCCCCAAATAAAGACTCTGGGCACCAGAGCTCAGGCGAGCTTCCTTGGTTGGCAATAGTCTGAGTGATTGTCACACATGGTGCTGGGAGGAGTTAACATGACCATGACTCCACTGGGAAAGGACAACTGGAAGCTCTGCATTTGGAACTCTCCTGGACTCTGCCCAAGGCATCTCCTCCCTTGGCTCATTTTAATCTGTATCCTTTTGCCGTAATAAACCGTAACCATGAGTATAACAGCTTCAGCAAATCTGTAAGTCCTTCTAACAAATTATTGAACGGAACTCCCAAACTTCCAACTCGTGTCAGAAGCGAGGGTGGTTTTGTGGACTGTTCCCTAACTTCACATTTTCCAAAATGAATAGGCAACAATGGATGGGAAATCAACCATATCTGTGTCTACTGAATGTTGGAAGCTTCTGGATATCACACTTGATATATACTATCTAATGACTGAGTTGGTATCTTTTATTATCCACATATTTTTTGCCAACAAGCGTAGCAAAATCAAAGTTCATTGTCTTTATGAACAGTTCCTTCTCACCTTCTTCATTATAAGTACTGGTACAATTATCCTCCCAATGCCCTCACGTTATTTATTTTAGATACAGTGAAACCTGTGAGAGCTGGAACTCGACTGGACTGCCTTGTGTTTCTGGGTCTTGTGAGTTTTCCGCCTTTGACAGGGTATAGCTCACCACTTTTCTATCACTCTCTACTAGTGGAAAACATTTGAGTTTTCCTTCTCTGACAGGTTTCCGCCTTAACAGGTTCTGGCTTTCACAGGTATGACTGTAATTACCAAAGTCTGCTAAGTTTACAATCCTTGGGCCTATCCCTATGTGATTGTTTTCCTACAACCACAACCCCTGTCTAGAGATCAGCCATCATCATTATATAGAATTCTTGCCTCCTTTAAAAGAAAAAAACCCAAACCCATTTCTGTTGAGTCGATTCCGACCTGGTGCAAATGGTCTGTGCTCGACCCTGATGGCTCAATGGTTAAGCACTTGGCTGCTAACGGAAAGGTCAGCAGTTCAAACCCACCAGCCACTGTGTGGAGGAAAAGACCTGGCAATCTGCTCCCGTAAAGATTACAGCCTAGGAAACCCTATAGAGTCACATGGGGTCGCTGAGAATCAGAATTGACTCAGCGGCACACAACAACAACTAACCTAAAGGTTGGCAGTTTGAACCCGCCCAGCAATGTCACGGAAAGGCCTGGCGATCTGTTTCTATAAAGACCACAGCCAAGAAAACCCTATGGAACACAGTTCTACTCTGATACACATGTGGTCACTATGAGTTGCCTCCTTTAACCCATCTTAAATTCAGCAACAAGCTATCATCTGTAAACATCATTTTTTTCATTGTAGCTTTACACTGACAAGTAACTGCTACTAAAATAAAATCTCAAAGCATAATGATGTATATCTAATCCATCAGTCCCCAACCATTTCTCTTTGGCCTTACTGCTGTTTTACAACAGCAACTAGAATTACCAACTTCCTGGACCTCTCAAGTTGCACATGCGCCCCTTCACACCTGCCAGGACCCCCCATCACAACTGCAGATCCTTCTTCCACTTTAAAGCTAACTTCATCTCCAACACATGCACTGGATTAGCCCATACCAATTTTTACTCTTTCAAACACTTTAAATTGCCCTCAGACTTTGGAACATTTATATAGTTGGTGTCTTTGTTATCTAGTGCTGCTATAACAGAAATACTACAAATGGGTGGCTTTAACAAACAGAAATTTATTTTCTCACAGTTTAGGAGGCTAGATGTCCAAATTCAGGGTGCCAGCTCTAAGGGAAGACTCGCTCTCTCTGTCCACTCTGGGGGAAGGTCCTTGTATAGTTTCAGCTTCTATTTCTAGGTTCCTTGGCGATCATGTGGCGTGTATCTTCTTTCCATTTGTGTTTTTGCTTACTTGCTTGCTTAATCTGCTCTTTTATATCTCAGAAGAGATTGCTTTAAGACATACTGGACACTAATACTGCCTCATTAACATAACAAAGAAAACTTATCCCCAAATGTGACCGTAACCACAGGTATAGGGGTTAAGATTTACAACACATATTTTTGGGGGACACAATTCAATCCATAACAGTTGGGCAACCTACCACTTGCCAAAAGGCTGTATACAAATCAGATCCAAAATTGCCTCCCTAGGTTTAAATACGAGAGAAAATCACTTCATATATTATTAAGAAAAAGAGATGCTATATCCTGTTAAAATGGGTTTCTTAAAGAAGATTTGGGGAGGAGTGATGGTTTGCTTCCCAAAAAGAAGTAACTTGGATATACCATCCATGATGCCTGTCATCCAGAGGTACTCAATAAATCTTTGTAGAACAAATAAGAGAATGAAAGAAAAATATAAAGGTCTGGACATATAGATCAAAAGAATAGAAATGAGAGCCCAAAAACAAACCCTCAAATTAACTGTCACTTGATTTTTGACAACGGTGCCAAGACAATTCAATGGGGAAAGAACAGTCTTTTTAACAAATGATGCTGTGAACTAGGTAGTGACATGGAAAAGAATAAGGCTGGGTTCTCTTCCTCACACCACATGCAAAAACTAATTCAAAATGGATCACAGCCCTAAATATAAGAGCTGTAACTATGAGATTTGTAGAAGAAAACAAAGGCATGTATCTCGGTAACCTTGGAATATGGAATGGTTTCTTAGATGTGACAGCAAAAGCATAAGCGACAAAAGAAAAAAATAGATAAACTGGACTTCATGAAAACTAAAAACTTTTGTGCTTCAAAGGACATGATCAAGCAAGTGAAAAGACAACCCACAAAATGGGAGAAAATTGTTGCAAATCATATATCTGATAAGGAACTTGTATCCAAAATATATAAAGAACTCTTACAATTCAATAACAGAAAGATAAATAATCCAATTTAAAAATGGGCAAAGGATTTAAATAGGTATTTCTCCAAAACAATATATAGGAACAGCCAATAAGCACATGAAAAGATGCCTGACATCATCAGTCATCAGGAAAATGCGAATCAAAACCACACCCACTTCACACCCACTAGGATGGCTATAATAAAAAAGACACATAATAATGAGTTTTGGCAAAGATCTGGAGAAATTAGAACCCTCATATACTGCTGGCAGGATTGTAAAATAGTTCAGCCATTTCAGTCTGGCAGTTCCTCAAAAGCTTAAATATAGAATTACCAAATAACCCAGCAATTCCACTCTTAGGGGGGTGTGTGTGTGTGTCCGTGTGCATGTGTGTGTATGTATGTATATCCAAGAGAAATGAAAACATTTGTCCACACAAAAGTTGTACATGAATGTTCCTAGCAGTGTTCATAATAGCCAAAAAGTGGAAACAACCAAAATGTCCATCAACAGATGAATGGATAAATAAAATGTGGTGTATCCATATAATGGAATATTATTTGGCAATAAAAAGAAATGAAGTACTGACACATGCTACAATATGGATAAACCTTGAAAATATCATGCTAAGTGAAAGAAGCCAGTATAAAAAGATGGCCTATTATATGATTCTATTTATATGAAATGTCCAGAATAGGCAAATTTATAGACTGAAAGTAGATTCGTGGGTTACTTGGGGCTGGGGTGTTGGGGGTGGAGGGGAGTGATGGCTAATGGGTATAGGGTTCTTTTGGGGGGTAATGACAGTATTCTAAAATTGACTGTGGTGATGGATACACAACTCTGTAAATATACTAAAAACCATTGAACTGTACACTTTAAATGAGTGAATTGTATGGTATGTGAGTAATATCTCAAAAGCTGTTATAGAAAATAAATGTAATGAATGAAGTACAAAGTCAGGTTATATAATAAGAAATACTGCTAAAGGCATTATTTAGTAGTCAAATATTCACACTTCAAATAAGAAAAATTAAAAAAGAGATTAAGAATGAAATCGTTAAGGAAAGACAAGCGCTATTTCTAGTTTTGTTTTGTTTTTTTTCCTTAAAGACTAGCTAATCACATGAAAATATGATTTCCTCCCTTCATTTCTGGTCTTTCTTTTTTGCACTGCAGCAATGGGCTAGACTGCTAATATTCCGAGCAGTGCTCCTGGGTTGCTGCAGTATCTTGGCAGGAACCAAGAAGTCTAGGATCTGGATGACAGATCTGCAAGTTCAGAAATCTGATTTTGCCCCATACACCAACAATAATCAGGCTCTAGGAAACTAACTCATACTAACCAAACCCATAGGAGTCAGGTATAAGCCAGTTTGGCTAGTTTATAAGCCAAAACGACAATTTATTCATTTATAATAGAGGTGTGGCCTTTATAACAGCTGAATGACTGCGATTTTAGAGACTCTCATCTTGGGGTATTTTTTTCTGATGTCAAGATCAGAATGCTAAGTAAGTATGACTTTGAACAAAGG